CTCTCTCTCTCTCTCTCTCTCTCTCTCTCTCTCTCTCTCTCTTTCTCTCTCTTTTGAACATGCAAGACAAACCTGTAACGATTACCACCGACGTTTGGTTACTCAACCTGTGTATTATTCGGCGAATGACACTGTGCACATATATATGTACGTGTGTGCAATCCACCCTCTTGAAATGATGGAATATTTTTCAGAAGTAGTTTGTCGGAAATAACGTTGTCTAAAATTGCGTTGCGTGTGTCGTTACGTGGTGGAAAGTAAGCTCGAATCATTTCGCATGTTTCCTTCTTTTTTTGTTTTTTTTTTTTATTTTTTTTTTTTTTTTTAGAAAACGGGATATTCGTGTCGTGAATAGTAAGGTAAAATGCCAGAGTGCATCGGTGTTATCGGCGCTGAACTTTTGGAATATTCCGCCGAAGTAATTAAAACGAGCGGTTGAAGGTAGTTGTTGCGTTTAATTAACGTTGTCCGAGATTCACCGATCTCGCGCAGATTAATTAAGATTTTTCCGATTAATTAGCAGAAAAGTCGTATAATGAACGGAGGGGGAAAATTGGTCGAGCAGATCGATTTGCGTGAAAAAAAAGCCGCGTAAAGTGGACGAGATGGAAAAACCGAACATTTCAGCGTGAAGGAGCTGCAGTGTTATCACATTTCAAAATCAATTAATTGATTATCTCGAATCAATGATAAATATATTCAACATGATGGAATTTCTTCCTGAACGTTCCTTCTTTGTAAAAAATTGACTTGAAAATGTTCCACCATTTTCCAGATTAACTGATCATATCAGATATATGCGTACATATATGTACATAGATATATATCTTTGTGCTCAACATCCACAGGATCATCGAGTTGTCCGTATTCCTTCGTTTGTGTCGTGGCAGCTTCCATGATGTAGTGTTATACTTGTACTTTTCACGATATATTACTTCAAACTTTCGTTATATTTCCGAACGTTCAATTTATCCATTTTCACGTTTATAAACATCAACTTTTTTCAGTGCCATTAATACTCATTTCAATCCAAACTCGACGATCAACTCGGAGATTTTTAATTTTGCCCCGTCTCTCTGATCTCGCATCTTTTTTCCCAAGTAATGGGAAAAAATTTTGCTCGTTAACAGCGTACGTTGTAAAATTTAATATAATATAATACGTGATATCCTTCAGTTTGCTCGTCAGGTCGTTGATGAGAAAAAAACTCATCGTCTAATTTCTTGGATTTTCGAATATTTTTTCTATGAAGTTTGGTCTCGCTGTTGCATTCAAGTATTATACCTTGCGCATGAAAGAAACAGACACTCAGGGAAATTCAGATCAAAGGAATATATTCAGTTTTTATATTCAGGAGATAACCTTGTGAAAACAAAGATATATATTAGCAAAGTCTGTGTCCATAAATAGTATATAGCAATTTCCAACAGTAATAATACGAGAAATATAAAGATTCGAAATTCAACAAATTATTGACACGTTTGTAATTCCAGTGATTAATCTGCATTTAATGTTATCAGGAAAATATCCTTTTCGAATAGCTCTATTGGAATCGAATGATGTTGCGCCAACGTAATGAGAGGTTGCTTTAAACTATTAAAAATATTTTACATTCTGTTCAAATACACGATAGAACTCCAAAAAACGTGTGCTAATATATTCTCCCGATTCTCGAATTTTTATATTTCTCTTTGATATTATTGGAGACCATTAAAGATATTTTATGTTCAAATACACGATAGAACAGCGAAGGAAAAGAACCTTTTTTTGATTCAATTTGATCGAATTTTTATACTATTTGTATTACCATTGTACGACTCATTATTGGAAACCATTAAAGATATGCCATATTTTGTTTAAATATTTTACATTCTGTTTAAATACATGATAGAACTGTGGAGAAAAAAAAAAAAAAAACGCTCGTGCATCATTATCTTTTCGACTCTCGAATTTTTACATTGCTTGTATTACTATTGTATTATTGGAAATTGCTAATTGATTTTGTCAACGTGTCGTTCGCATGGAAAATATCAACAAGAGAAAATGTGCCAATAATTTTTTAACCCAATGTACTTCGCACACTAGATGAACAATTATACATTATAAAATGAAATCACATTACAGACCAATAATATTACCAGTCACGAAAAGTACGATGATAAACTGTCGTCATGGTTGCTGCCTCTAACAGTCAGTAGTCGTTCTTGAATACTTGACATTGTGCAAAAGGACAAATGTTGTTGTTCCAAAATGGTTGTTGCCTGTGTGTTCCCTTCTCTGCACATTGACGATGTTTCGTGAGACCCCCTTTTTTGACGCGCTTTCTATGCTGTCGTTTGCTTTCGTGTTTCGTCACTATTCAAATAACAAAATAGCTCGTACAAGTTCCAATCGAACAAACAGAACGGCTACCTTAACGACGAAAGATAATTAATTAACACGAACGTTCCTTCTTATCTCATCTGCGATTATTACATAATTCGTGACTCCTTCGAGAAAATTTCGCCACGGGATCTAACCGTCCTGTAAAAAAAAAAAAAAAAAAAAAATGGTGTCCACTCGTAAAGGAAATATTCTCAGTGTCTCCTATAAACGCGCGTTAACGTGCATACGTTCTGTCGTCTGCGGCAAATTGCGTGAAAAAAAAAAAAAGAAAAAGCCTCTCGAAGGTTGTTCACTACCTACTGGATAACAACCGTGTCTACTGTCGATCCAGGTGGGTAAGTGCTTGTGAATGGAGTTTAAGCAAATTAATTATATTTTCTAAGAGTTTGCGTTTTGTTAGAGACCTAGTTTTACATTGTAACCAGCGAGCCATGATTCTCTATTAAGTATATACTC